ATAAATATATGCTAGTTATAAAATTTTTAAATTTTGAAAAGTGTTTCAAAGTATTGCAAATGTAAAATGTAATAGATTTTACGAATATGTACGTGAAATTTTCCATTGAATTTTTCTACCCCTTGGGAAAGAAACCGAAAAAATCCGCGGAAAAATTGAAAAAAACCGGTTTTCTTCCCAGCCTTTAATATTCTATATATATATGTGTGTATGCGTGTGCGTGTGCGTGTGCATGTGCGTGTGCGTGCACGTGCGCGCGCGTGCGCGTGTGTATGTGTGTGTGTGTGTGTAGCAGCACGAACTACATCGACGCTGAAAATAAAGAAATTGCTTCATTTGGTTTCATTTCGTTTCGTCGCCGACGTTACGATTTTCTGGGAAAATTTTATCTCCCTAGAAAGGAGTTCGCTCTAACGTGTGAGCAACGCGATATTCATGCACGATTACAATACTATGCAGCATTCCTATCATGGCTCAGAATAAGACGCAGATAAGGCAGTACAACGAATACGATGCAACGTGTTGTTGCTCGCATGCATGAGAACGGCGATGTTTTCGAGGGATTTTACGATATCTCTTTATATAATATTTTCGAATAAATAATAACTTATGTTTTTTTAAATCTGAATATTATTACGATATTTATAACAAATACTTTAACAATTGTACAGAATAAATAACTCGTCTTTCTCATAAGTATTATTTGATGTATAGACATGTAAAGATAATCATTTTAATAAAAATTTAATTAGAATAATAAATTAATTAATTTATACAAAATTGTAATCTTTGTGTTAAATTTCTTGGTAGATATGCAAATTATTACAAATTTTGTTTAATTGTAAGAGATATATTTAAATTTCCTTCAGATTTCTTATATTTTCTATTTCTTTTAAACAAAATTTGCTAAAATTTCTTAATACGTGAAATAATATCACAATTACAATTAAAATTCTGATGAAAGAATCCCATAAGTGTTTTATATGAAAAAGTGTTAAATTTCTTCGTTCCGAGATATGCTGCAATTTTTGCTTCTGAACAAATGTCTCCATTGCCACAATCACAAAAAATCAAAGGATAAAGAAGTACGAAGGAATACGAAGTCATAGAATCTGAGTGTTTGCCATATCTCTTTGAGATAATTTGATGTCTCTCTTTTATGTATTATGTTCACATGCGCGTGTATTCGTGAGACACGTGCGGGAATTCTTTCCATCAATGAGCTATTGACTTCAAATTTTCCGAGAAAACTGTCGATGACGCAAGCAAAAAAATGACTTAGTAATAGTAGCTAAATTTTAATAGCTGAATCAAACTTATTATTAACTATAAGAGCTACCGCCTTAATGTCATTGCTAAGTTCTGGCTATTACAGATAAAAAATATTTACTGTGACAAAAAAATTTATTAATTAAAATTAAAAGCATATATTAGTACAGGCAGCTAAAAAGATGGCATGCGTACCTAAATGTCTTATCATGCACACATTTAGCACACAGAGCTAAATTTATAGCTACGCGCAAAAATTTGATTCGTAATTGTTTCTCCAATGTGGCACTGCCATATGCACATCTACAGCGCATTTAGCATTTATATTTTACAGTATATAGCTATATACTGCATACAAGCTATATATACTGCAAATATTATTATATACTCTATAATATATACTCTATTGCGAAGATAAAATAGCATAGTAGATTCGGCTAAATATCATTTGATTTTAACAGCAAATATTTTTTGCTGTAGCACCTACATTTTAATAAACTAATAAATTGAACTTTGGCAACAACGACGTTAGCTGTCCCTATTTTAACGACACATCTTAGCTATATTTTAGCTTCATTGATTAATCCTTTTTCTGCGTGCGGAAACAGCAATCTTAATGAAGGTATCTTGTATATACATAAGTTTCGTCGACGCAAACATTTTAATAGAAAGTATACGTTCTTGATCGGCTGTAATAAAACTTCTTTCGGTATTGTGTCCTTTCTAGTTTCTTCATGCGACGATGATATTTGAGCGTATCCCTCCAATGCGACCCCAAACGACGTACTTGATATCGAAAACCTATCGAACTCGTCCGATTCGTGCACGCCAAATATCGCGCGACAATCCGTCGCTCCTCATCCGCACACTCATCCGTCTTATAATCCTTCTCTCTCTATCTCTTTCTGCAGTTACGGTTGCCTAGCCGGCAACAAGAGCGAGATTCTCGCGTCGCAGACCTTGACGGAGGAGGAGTTCCAGGAGCACCCGACCATCAATTGGGATGCTATCCTGTGGGTCAGGAGACCTTTAGAGTTGTGGGTTGTCCAAGTCATCTTGGCGATGGTGTCGTTAACCGAGGCTCTGTTGCTCGCCTACCTCGGTTACAAGGTACGTCATCCTTCCCTCTTACAAATAAATTCCGTTTTTATTACCCGATATTCGACTGCTGCCTGAGCACGCTCGTTACTTTATTGGCTTGCTCGCCGAAGAGTTTTATGGTTTATGCGATTGAAATATTTCTCTTCCCTCAGAATAATTAGATGTGTAGCGAAAATATATAATATTGACATTTTCTCGTACACGGAAAAAATTGCTGTGGATGTTACAACAATATTCTCTATGTTTGGAAAAGAAATGCATGTGAATTTAAGTTATATTGATGTTACATGGCATTCATCTGTTAA